TCCGGGGTGGGTGAGCCACTTGAAAGCTGGAATATGCGATGTGGGCAACTTCACTATCATTCGATAAAGGGCACGATTTGTCCCAAAAACGTGTTCATTTCAGATGACCCGATGATGACTTACTTGATATTAATGGCAAGAGATAATGGAAGTATGCATCGAAAAGAGTACCTTGATGAAGCTGACGATATCATAAGTAGTGTCCAGAATATAACAATGAAATATGGAGAACGTCGTTTGATCTATCGTCAAATGTGCGAACCACATTGTTTTGGGGATGAAATTTTCAAACAATTCAAGGTTTGCGAGTAAATGCACCGCTTGGGGTTGTCGTATGGGCGGAGCCTGGGAATGAAGTCGACGGCGTGCCGCTACACTTTACGCGTCGAATGGCGGTGAAGGGGGACTAGCCCCGCCCACACGGCAATGTCAAATGGTGCATTTAAAATTGCCCCAATTGAGTGATCAACCAAAGCACAGTAACCATTTCAGAGAGCTTTCGATATTTCCTATCGGGGAGCCCTGGAATTTGGCATTGATAGTGTCTTTTTTGATTTGTCCTATCCATTCGGACACATCATGACTGATCGAGTTCCATTTGATCGATGCCTCTATGGAGTTCGTTTGAAAGATTCAAATGCTTCACAACAGGTGAGCATCGGAGAATCGTGCTAACCCAGAGCCTCATTTCTAAATCTGAATTTGTAGCAACAATGTGAAACTCCAAAATTTTATTTCAAAACAACTCGAAAGACACCAAAAGTCGAAAAGTTTTTTAAAATATCTTACCTTGCAATATATCGGTATACTTGAAATTATTCAGCTTGTTTTCAGTGGACATGAACCATCTACAAAGCTACAACTCGCACGGACTCCTTCCCCACCCAACCCACTTACCTTTTGTCCCGAAATAGTCAACCCACCCTAACCATACCCTTAAATAGTGGGATACTTTGTGACACGATCACATGATGACTTGCATAATGTCACTTAGTTCCTCCCTATTGTTTATTTACTGGTTGTAACCGTTTTACCTCCGAGGCCTCCAATATTTTCCTTTCCTGCTTTCTACTGAGCGGTGTAGTACTTTGATGTTTAATGAGGGGGTTCTGGCGGGCATGTTCTTTT